GCACACAAGATCCCTCGGCGATTGGGTTATTTTGTGTGACTTTTCTATTACTGAAGCTCATACTGCTGTTTGAAGACTACACTTGCAACCCGACACTGGGAACTCTTCACGAGATCGGTAAACACGTCTCAAATGCGATGACCGACAAAGAGTACTGGACAGGTGTTTCGTCCCGGTCGGGAGTCGTTAGCAGCGCGCGTAATTTTTGTGTCCCTCTCAGGACTCAAGCCACTAACCTTCGGATTAGGAATTTAAACCCTCACCCCTGAGCTACACGGTCGACGTTCATCACCTTTTACAAATGGCTCAGCCAATTTAGCCCAAGATCATAAACGGTGCCTGGTGTCCGTGACTTAATGTTTAAAGAAGTATATCACATAGTTCAATGTCATAACTAAAACTTTCTTGTATTACTTTTGGAGAAGGTGATTTTCACCGTTCAACTTCACATACTACTATTCCCATAAGTGCATGTACAGTTGCTTTCGTATATTGTTCGTGAAATCCAAAAAGGAAAGGGAAGAAGCCTGGTGCCTTTGAACAGTCACAAGGGGTTAATCCAATCTTGTTACTCTAAAAGTATAAACACGTTGTTCACAGAAAGAGATAGAGTATAAGTGAAATAAAAGTCAAAGGTGAATTTTTTGGTTAACATTTTACGAGATCGGTGGAGTGAGAATTCAGATTTGGTGAAGGGACTGAAATGACAGTGTGATGATCTGGCTAGTTAGAGGTTCTCAGGAGCCATTTAAGCAAGGTTCTTGCCATAGGTATGTTGACTCTCTGACAGACACCCTACTGGGTCATTGTAGAAACGTAAGGAAACGTGACGAATTAAATCGCGACAAAAGACTTCAAAGTCCGGCTCAGGTGTACCAGGAACAAAAACTATCTGAAAAAGGGGAACCATATCAGTTCACAAAAGTAAAAACGACAAATGATGAGTTATGAAACTGTTTCAAAACGCGAATGTGATACGTTATGCATCGGAGCTTATCGACTAAAATACCTATCGATTTTGTGAGGTTACAAGTATTTCTCATTGGACTCAAATTACTTGTGAGTAGTGGTGTGGGATAATTGATTTTTATTGATTTGAGCGGACTATCTTTTGGACTTCACCGTCACGCACATTCCTCAGTTCAATCAGTCAACCATACACTCTGAGGCTATGCAGACTCGAGTTTCGCTCTTCAATAGTGCATATCCACCGTCCCGTCCGGGATTTGAACTCCGGCACAATCGCACGGAAGGCGTGTGCGTTATACCACTGTGCCAACCACCTCACACCATGGTTGAACCAAATTTCCGATTCATGTTTCTTCCGCGTGTCATCTTCAGTATTTGTTGTGCAGTTCACACTGAAACCTTCAACCCAAACACCGTTTCCATCTCCCGTGTATGGTTCTTGCAGTTTGAGAACATATGCTTTCACTTTTCCCGGGAGCTTTGTCTGTTGTGCAATCTGCTTATAACTGGTTTTGGCTGTTTCCGCTTCAAATATCATACCACAATGTGATCAGGAGCTATTAAACAGTCTGGTTATCGTATGATATGATCTCATGGAAGGCAGCAATTCCGGATTTCTCTGTTATCAGTAAGCCTTTTGCATCTCGCCATGGTTCACCATGACTTGTAGTAACCTAATTTGGTATATCTGTTTTTTTTCAAGGTCATTTGGATTGACATTAGCATGACCGTAGCATACACCATTCAGTTAACATCTGACTCGTTACGGTTGCCAGTTACCACAGTACAAACTCGGAATGTCCATCGCACCCGTTTTTTAAAACCGAATTGGGTGTCTGGAGTCCATGGGTGATGCCGTACTTTTGTCGCGGGGTGCAACAGATTTGAACAGGAATGTTTGGATTTACCACAACGAGAGAAACAGCTATTTTTCGTGCGACGTTTCGACCCGCCTATTAGGCGTTGATCAGGTGAACATTAAACAAAACTATGAGAGAGAATCCTTATCAAATGGACGAGGTTTGGCAAAAATATTTCCAACTGAGTGATCTCCATCACCGTAATCATCAATTATGGATGACAGGCTGCTTGTCCGTGCAAGTTCAAATGACTCAATTTGGCACAAACTGTCATAGATTAAACAAGTGTTGAGAGGAGTCACATATCTGCGAAGGAAATCAGAGTTGACAATTGTGATAATTGGCATGATTGTTGTTTGTATGTGTATGCAAGTGGTCAAGATAGATACAGGTGGATGGTCATTAAACGGTGGATGCTTGAATGTGTATTTACGAATGGAGATTGTGACCAGATTGTGTAAATGGATGACCAGAGTAAGATCAGTATTCTTGAAAGCTGTTTCCACGCGCACATCCGGTTGGAGAAGGAAAGCAAATTGTGTCGGCTGTTGACAAAATTCGGAACTTGACCTCTTAGGATGACACCTCCTCCATCCCAATATCCAAATAGAGAGGACCGAAAGCGTGAAGCTCATTGACGGGGTGTGATTGGACACAGTCAACTGGTTCGTAATTGCCATCGCCTCGGACCTTGTCAATTCCCGATTCAATCAGCTAGAATCTGACTTCTTGATGTAATCAACTGAGGACGACGTCACAGATGATGGGAGATTAAAATCTATGATTAGTTCTGTTTTTTTTGCAAGATCTACAGCAGTGCGGGTGTGTGTGTGTGTGTGTGTGATTGGTTGGTTGATCAAGTGGCATGAAGCCAGTGAACCGAGTTCGATTCGTTAGGACAGACGCAGTGCGAATTGCTCTTAATGGAAATTGCGATTCGGGTATTGAAACGGTTTTCGTTAGATATCTTCGAATGTAGGTCGGCGCTGAGCTCGGGCACCATTGTAGTGATAACATTTATCTTTCCGGCTTCAGGTTCTTTAGTTTTTCAAGACGTTTACGATTATTTTATAAAACAGTTGTGGATTTCAGTGAACAATTAACTGTCTTGTGACCAGTTGGACTTCTTTGCACTCGGCTGTTTTGTTTGAGACGAATTGGGTTGCTCTAGTTGGGTGTTTGGTCACCATAGTAGCTTTCGCGTTTACCGCGTGGTCAGAGGAGTAGGACAAATATCTGCCAATATGTGTTGGTTTTCTATACACGGATACTGATATGTGAACTGAATCGTTCAAAGTTATTTAAAAGTTCAAGTTGATTAGTTTGTCTTGATTTTGTAGTTTGAAATAATCTTATTGTAGAATCAGTTGCTGGGTTGTGGTAAATGTTCCACAAAGTTCTTCTTGATCACCACGAAGATATCATCTACCTTGTCCTCATCAAATTTTTGGTGGTTTTGGCTTGACTGTTATTAAACCCTCTATAAGATGTAACATGAAGATGTGTGCTACAATGGGTGAGGCTGGAAAACCCATTACCACTCCATCCAACTGTTGGTCTAAGGCTCCGTAATCAGTTGAAAAAGTGGATTTCAGACACACGGAATTAGCCCTGTTGATGTCCTCCACGTCAGGTTTGTTTCTGTCACCCAAGGAAGTGTGATTTGATTGGACCGTTTCAAGGGGCTGAACCATTTCTTCTATGGGCACATGAGTAAGAAAAGAACATCGTCGTACAGAAAACATACAAACTGGCCTGAGTTTTTGAACTCTGTGTTGGGGAACGTCACGGTATTATCTCTCCTTCAGGTGCTTTTTTGCCTTGGTCAGTCTTCAAAATCGCTATCATCTGATCCTAATGGAAGGAAACCTAATTGCTATAAATGTCCTCTTTCTTCATATTACAAATCTGCTTCCTTTGATTTCACCTTCTGGAAATGCTAATGTAATTGGTTTTGTCATGTGTGCATATTGTTTCCCAACGAGAAATAGTGCCTAGCAAGATCACTGATGGTTTTGACTGGTTTCTTGCGAAATACCAATAATGAAGTTTCAATATTAATAACAAACATTCTTACATATTTTAGTTGGTGTTCTACGTTCGTGATTAGTGTCTAAAGGGTGTTTTTGCATAAAAAAAACCGTTCGCCNCCCCCATGGGTGCAAGCAGATGTGATCACAGCCATTTGGTCATTTTGGAGCAACTGGCCAAACTGTCATTTGCTCTCTCTCTCTCTCTGGCCGGTCGTTCAACCGGAACGAATCAGCTATTTTCACGAGCAGCTGCGAGAATCGTGGAACTGTTCTCACACGGTCCGGTTGGCAAACGAGATGAGGCGTAACGCGCAAATTCAAAACTGTGCGGCTAATGTGAACAGTCTTCAATGAAAGAAAAATGATTCATACTTGAAGTTGAAAACAAATTTTAAAAAAGAAAACAAATATTTTCGATAATTTAAAATTTGAGATGCATCGTTGCTTTATGCAAAATTAAAGCGAAATGAGACAAGAAAAACGGGGAAAAACTAGTTAGGAGTTGAGTTTATTTTCGTTAGGAATATTTTCCAATGACCAGTCAGATTGGTGCATCGGTTCGAATCTTCTCTTCATTTGAATTGATGTTGGTCTAATTTATGATTATACTACTGCTCGACACAATTTCTCTTCGAATGCAGAATCCGGTTATTTGCGAGGAGTTAATCAACGTCCGCTCAGCATCGAGCCTCTGCTCCGTGTTACCGCAATAGCTTCACCGATCATCCAACAGATTCGGGGACCGGACAATGTTTTGACAAGTTAGCTGCGGTTGGGGGAAAACAAATACGTGTTGCTGAACGAAGCTGATGATGGAGCCAAGGAATCTTTATATATATTTGACTAAATAATACTATGCGGAATCCAAACACCGTCCCGGTCTTTTCTTTCTTTCTTTTTAAATTTCATTTCCTTTTACTGAATACACTGAATGATGCAATTTTCAGGAAGGCGGAAGCGGTCAATCAAAGGGCTGCCATGGGGAGTTAGGTGGTGGTGGTGGGGGTCGAACACACGTCCCCTGAAGTGATAATTTGGTGACGTTACCACCAGGCCACCACCGCCCAAATTAGTGGCCCCGAAAAGTGCCGGTTTCATGTTCTCTAGCGAGCGTTGTTCTTCTTAGGCCTTCGGCTTATCAGTCTCTTTGAGGCAGAAGAACAGCATAGATGTTCGGCAACACACCACCCCGGGTAATGGTCACACCGCCAAGAAGTTTGGTCAACTCCTGATTGTTACAGATGACCAATTGCAACAAGCGAGGGATTATGCGAATCTTCTCGTTGTCACGAGCAGCGTTACCCGCAAGCTCAAGCACCTCAGCATCCAAATAATCAAGCCCTGCAGCCAAGTAGACTGAAGCACCGGCACCAACACACTCCGCATAGTTGCCTTTGCGCTGTAAAGGGTACACATGACCGACCGGGAATTGCAAACCAGCACTGGCTGACTGTGTCTTTGCCTTCGCACATGATTTACCGCCACGACCACGACCGCTTATTTTCACGCCATGCCGGAAAAGCGTGAAAAGCGTCTATACTAAGCTGGGAAATAGATACAACCAATTAAAAAAAACACAATGGGAAATGACTTTGTTGTGGATTTTGCAAACCGCAATCCTCGGTTACCATTGGGACAATATAGAGTTTATCGTTTGGATCGCTTTTATTGACTAACAAAAAAGGGGGAATAAATTCTCTGAAGTGTTTGTACGTGTAACACAATTTCTCGACTGAAAGTTTTTATCCAATTCAAGTGATCAATTGGTTTTAGATATCTCTTTTGAATTGGGTTCATATCACTGGGCGGTGATGACCCAATGGTAAAGTCAACAAATTATCACCCAAGGGATGTATGTTCGAATCCTAGCACCACCGCCGCTTGACTTTCCCCATTTTGTGTACATTTATTGGCCTCTTCCCCTTTCCTGAAAATTGCATATTTGAATGATCAGTAAAAGGAAGTAAACGAAAAAAGAAAAATTGATTTTCCATGCACACACGATGAACCTAGTGTTTGCTACAGGCTTTTTAGATCCCCGATTGAGCCCGCTTCTCTGCCAGTTGAATTGCTTTGGTGGGATTACCTCAATGTTTCAGTGACCCTGCTGACCCTAGAGTGAGAATGTTCAACGGATAAACTATGTAATATATCGGTGGTAATTTCTGTTCGCATAACAGCTCTCAATCATCCTTCATTATCCTTTAAAAAGGATCGTTCTTCTGTGACGCTGACAGTTTAAACCATTCAGATTGGAGTGCAGGAACAGGATACACTGTCACGTAGCAAACCGATCCAGCCCCACGGAAATTATGCTTTAAAGGTGAACCGCTAGAACGTACAGATATTGATCAAACTCTTGCAAAGTGATTCTCATTTTGAAGTACCATTTGATTTATGTACAATGTGCAACGCGTTAAGCTGTCTGATGAAATGAAAAGCTATTCAATTTGTATTTGTATTGTACACTGGTCGTCACACTAAGGAAAATGTACAAGTATAGACAAATCGAATAGTGTTTTATAAAAAATATATTTTTAAGGGGTATCTGAAATTGAATTCATTCAAGTTAATATTAACGTAACTCGTTTATAGCTCATCCCTTATTGGTCAAGGTTCGAGCCCGATAAGGTACAGGGGAGTTTTTATAAATGTTCATTAGGGAGGGTAGGTACCGATAAGAGGAACGAGTGATCGAGTGGGAGCGACAAGAAGATAAGTCAAAATGCAAAGGATGGTTGGGGTTGTTTAGAATCTGATTTGCAAAGGTCCCACAAGACTTCATATGACCGGTGATAAATTCTAAGATTGATGACTCGGCAGAAATTAAAGATGTACGGCTTATGCTCATTAATCCACGATGGAAAATTTTAAAGTCTTGTTTCAATAGACCGAGAAACACTGCAGGGGAGAAGCAAAGTAAACGCATTGTTTAACAAAAGAGAACAAAACTTGTTGGGGAGTACGAAATTGTCTGAGCTTTCGGAGCTGAAAGGAAAGATCCCGAAGTTTTCCCATACAGTTCTGAATGTGCATCGACCACCAAAGATTATTATCGATGGTAACAGCCAGATTGTTGGCTGAGGTCACTCCAGACACAAGGTTACAATTAAGGGTTACAGAGTCTGACGGGAATGTAGAGCAGGAAGAACTAAAAAGCACTTGAATGTGTTAGGATCAAGGCCAGATTGGTTTGAAAACTGTTCGATTCGGGACAGATTTTCAGTGAAGGAAGAGAATTCCGAAGAAGAAGAAATGGTCTGACATAAAGCGACGCAGTCAGCATACTTTTGGATATGAGCAGGGTGTGGAATTGAAAGATCACTGACGAAAGCAGAGAAAAGATACGGGTAGAGGGCAGTACCTTGAAGCACACCAGAATTATTGACTAAAGCACTTGAGGTATTCCTGCCCAGCTTTGTGCATTGGGTTCTTTCGGTGAAATAATCAGAAAGCCATGAAAGCGAAGATTATTGTTGTTTCTTTACCAGTGTTAACTCCATAATACCTCTCGAAAAAAGTATTAAATGTAACCCACTACGTTGTTGGAGTCGGCGCGAACGACTGACAACTCTTATTGTACCGTAAACTGATCCACCACGCTCACTGCAGATACCAAGTCGCCGAAAACAAATGCAATCATTTCAAAACCGGAGCATCAGGATTGTGATCGGATGGAACGAGTATAGAAAGTTATCTAAACCGCGTCAATTACTTACCAATCCAAAGCTAGGGAAAGACTCTGTCACTGAACCCGATAAAACATGCGGACGGCAACTTAATTCTCAATGCATCAACTTACACCAAAGGAAACATTGGCTTTGTTGAAAGGACTAACATTCAATGGGAAAAACGCAAGGCCAACCGATTTGATCGCCTCAATTGAGGCTGGAATTCGACCGTGTCCACTGGTTGAAGAAAAACAACAACAGATCAAGACAAAAATCTGTCAGTAATTCAGACATCCGAGAGACATATTGATCACCTACCACCAGCTGAGATCAAAGCATTACGCCAAAATCAAGACATCGTCATTTTACCTGCGGCTAGGGGTAATGAGGCTGCGATCCTAGACAAAAAAGATTGCAACCAAACATTGGATAGACTCATCTGTAATTCGGAGATATATCAGCCAGGCATACGAAACCCTATGCGACATCTAAAAACAACAAAAAAACATAGGTGCATAAAACCAGCGTACCCATCAGGTTCAATCGCTTCTTCGACAACGACTCCTCCATTTATTACACTCATCTATTCCGGAAGCTAACGACGTAAAAACTCGGACACATTCCTTAAGTGAGTAAGAGAATTAAAGTTGAAAACCGAAAGAAAAAGTAGTATCCTTCGAAGTCATTTCTCAGTTCACATACATATTAACGCAACTAGCTCTGGAGAGCATACATAAACTGATAAGAGATGATCCTCATCTTCCAGAAACAGCACCACGGTTAGTGACTGAGATCACGAAGCTGCTTGAACTCTGCACGAAAACATACCTACAATATGACGGAAGGATATAGCGACAGGTGAAAGGAACTCCAATGGGATCATCAATATCCGGCCTACTAACTGATGCGGTGATAAAACAATTCAAAGCCAAGGCATTTGAAGAATACCACCCTTGCCTCTGGGTTTGATATGTGGACGACACCTTTGTGGTACTACCGATAGAAAGAATCGAGCGATTCCATGATATCATAAACAAGATTATGCCAGGGATACGGTTTATCGGCGAGGAGGAAAACGATATGAAGCTCCCGTTCTTGGACGTCCTCGACATAAGAAAACCAGACGGATTACACAGAAACCACTGTGTACAGAAATCCCACAACGACCGACCAGGTGCTGAACAACGACAGTAATCGCCCCACCTGTCAACTTAGGAGCTGTGCGCACACTTTATTCCGCCGTGCGGACACATTGTAGAACAGAGGAACTCCGGCATCAGGAACGAATGCATCCGTTCCGTCTATTCCACACAAATGGATACCCCAAAAGTTTCGTCCATTCGTGCCTTAGGGGAAGAAGAAAACCGAAAGATGAAGAGCAGAAAACGAAACTCTTATTACCATACATACGTGGAGTATCAGAAGCCGTTGATCGCATCCTTGGCCTTCTGGGTGTCACCACTGCCCACAAATCTACAAAAACGCTGCGGTCAATTTTGTTCAACGGCAAGGACTATGTAGAACTACACGATCAATCAGGGGTGGTGTACGCAATTCCGTGTCTAGACTGTGACCAACGTTACGTGGGTTTGACAACGATTCATAGTATGGGTTGAAAAGTCACAGAAAATATTATCACTCAGTGCTCGCTTTCTCCTTTTCAGTGTTTATATATATATATATATATACGAAGTGGACACCTTAGGTAATGTTTCTAGTAATCAGTTTCTCATAGTAGACCACGTTTTCCATGGTAGATGGCTTTGGAGTCACACCTAATAACGTGTCATTTCATTGAACGTTTTCGAGACAAGCGCATAAAAGCTGCATGACGCACAAGTGTTTGCTTTAAATGGTTTGGTGGTTTTTGCTCCTAGTGGCAGGAATCTTGTGAGTAATAAGGCAGAAAGAGATCTGGTAGGGACAGTGATAT